TTTTTTTTTTTTTTTTTTTTTTTTTTTTGCAGTTGGTTTTGTTATTGGACTTCAATCTTAAAACTTGGCTGACTTGAAGTGAATGACTGTGGTCACCAGACTGTCTGGTAAAGCTGTTGTTTGTTGTTAAATACTGCCAACAACTATTTAAAGAAAATAAAATGAAAATCGTAAAAAAAATAAAAATAAATAAATAAATAAAAGAACGAGCAACGAACACCGTGTAGGTTTCATTGATAACTGAAAATACAAGTTACTGCTGTTTACCTATCACATATATGTATGTATATGTGTGTGTGTGTACGTATATATTCCGTCTTGAGTTCACATTTATTCACTATAAACTATAAACTAAAAAAAAAAAGATGCACCTTAAGGCGCGTGGTTGTTATTTGACTTCGCTTGGATTTAAATTCACGAGTGGGTGGCCCTTTTCTCTCTCCTTTTTTTCATTTTTATTAATATTCACACTATTTAATATTGGGATAGTAATACTATTATACACACAGTGTAGTTGTTGTATGTGATAGGCGTTTATCACGTCATATCTATAAAAAAAAATATATATATATATATATGTTTTTTAAAAATTTGTTTTTGTTGTTTTATATTTAAAAATTGTTGTATTTATAACTGTTTAATATTATAAGTTTCGTACAGTTCTGGCTCTTTTTTTTTTTTTTTTTTTTTTGGCTTATCGATGAAAGGTTTCTAACCATTTCTTGTTCGATATACACCGAAAAGCTATAATAGTAGAAGCAGTAGAAGTTTATATCATACATATATGTATATAGTGTTGTGCTTATTTGTCTTAATAGATTTAAAGTGGGTTGTTTCAAGAGTTGTGTTACAACTACCACAGGAAGTTAATTGTATGAATTATTGTGTTTTTTTATTTTTTTCTTTATTTATTTAATTATTTTCGTGTTGTATTTGTTTCTACATAAACGAACGTAACGATGGACTTTGAAAGTTTAAATGATTTTAAAGGGATGATCGATCGATCTCATGTCGGATCTATTTAGTTGCCAAACGATGCTCGTACTAAACGTTATATTTATTAATTGAGACGCATAAGGATAAAATCGATGTGCGTCTTGATCAAAATTTTCACAAATTAATACGATATATGTATGCCTTCGTAAGGTCAGTTCTTTCTGCACATAAGCGTAAAATTTTTACCTCTCGGAAATTATATAAACGGAATTAATCACCGATAATAGTAGACGTTCCTAATCTCGACGAGAGCTCTGCACTACAATAACTTCTACAACTATTACGATTAATACTTTTAGGCTGAGTAAAAAGTTCATGGCGTTTTTTTTCACTACTATCGCTTTAGAGGTGCATAACTATGGCAACACGAACCCTATTAACTCGCCTACTCATTACTATTTTTATTATTATCATCATTAGTTTTTTTTTTTTGCAATATTTTTTATTATATATATTTAAGCAGCCTTCGCCTAATGCGATTTGAAAATAATTTCTTATCCCATCTATTTAATCAAATGACCTTAAAATGCAATTGATTCCAATGTATTTACATTTTAAAGCAAAACAAACAAATTTCATGCAAGCGAATCATTTGATTTCATTATTGAGTTTAACCGCAACATTCAAATGACTTGATATTGATCGCTTGGGAATGTGGCAGATGCGAATATCAAGACACAGACAAGCAGACAATCATTCATTCATTACTTACTTAACTTAGAGGCAAATACCATACATAGGAAAGACAAATCGAAAAATTAAAAAAAGAAGAAGAAGAAGAAGAAGAAAAAGAAAAAAGCGTACAATGTTTTAATTACGATGACAGTGTGTTTACTTTTTGTGTATTAAAACAATAAAAACAACTTAAAGAAACAAAATATACAATAAATGAGTAATGAAAACTCATTTCATTTTTTTTTTTTTTTTTTCGGCTAAACCGGTGGCCGCCATATGTTGCTTGCAATGGAAAACCGTTTAGGTACTGTTAAGAATAAATAAGTTCGAAGATTCACTTTAGAAAGACAGGAACAAATAAATAAATAAAACGGAAGAAAATTTTCAAATGCACGGAAAATATGAAAAGTTGTTGTAAATTTTAATTTGACAAAATGTCTTGTCGTTCTTTGTTGTTAAGTAATTCGTAAAGTAAAGTTACTGTTTTTGCTTATTGTCGTTGTTGTCTCTACTTTTGAGGTTGACATAGAGAACATTTGCCTCGATTTCTGAAATGCGCGTATGTGCGCGATGCGGTTACCATATGACGACAAATATTTTTATAACTTTATTTTCGATGAAGTGAACACACACTGATGGTGGACTGATTGACTGACTGACTGACTGGTTATATGTTATAACATGACTAATGTCTATGCTTCTTTAGCGCGCACCCTTGATTGGTTCAACTAGATATATATGTACACATGAACACACATAAACACACATATATGTATATATATATCTATAGATACATGTATGTATGTATGTATATCTATAGATAAATGTATTTGTCGCTTTCCTCTTTCCATTATTAATCATTTATTTTCATTATTATTTGACAGCAATCGATGCCGTTTACGGCTAATAACTCTTCGTTATTATTATTTCAGTAATATTTCAAGGTTGGAAAATTAATTCTTGCTTTTATACTATCATGTTGTTAATATTAATTTTTTTTTTTTTTTTTGCATATATTTACCTACAGCTTTCGTATATGTAAGTCAGATATATTTGTAGTATTTTTCCGTATTTGTTTAGATCCGTCAGTTCGTTGACTATCATCACAGATAATGAAAATTGATTTTTGAACAAAATTAGTTTTAAATCTTAAAGAAGTCAATTTTTTTACTTCTTGTGGCATTTATTATACTTTCGCCGTTTATTTGTTTTAATTGCAATCGACGCACAGTATTCGTAGCACGAGACAAAGTAGCACAAAGTAAAACTTTAGCTGCGTTCAGTCCTTTGGACGTAAATAAATTGAATTTCTTTATAATTGTCCTCCTAACGCTGCGATAAGCGATTCAACGCTTAACTTTTACCAAAAATCTTAACTATAGGGCGAAATGCCGGCATTGATCCGCAAAAAGACTTAAACGCGGCGATATTCAAAAAAAAAAAGAAGAAAAACGCAGCCGAGCATTTCCCCGAATCCATTGTCGTATACCAAACGCATTATATGGAAGAATGAGATTAAATTTTATCTTCAACTTTTTGATTTAGATCATGACACTGGCTCTCACTCACACTCGAGTGAGTTCAAATCGTTAAAGCTGATACGATGGCTCTCGCATTATAGAACAGTTTTTTATTTCATATAACTTTTATGGCGGATTGTTTAGGGAGTTGCCAGGAGATATTTAAGAGAAATGTATTCATCTCAATAGCTACAGCTATTGCAAACTTTACAATATCAAAATTTATTGTATCAAGACTGCGACCGAAGTTTTTTGTTGCCTGGTCGATCTTCAGCGATTCGATCGATCGCATCGATCGACGGATCCGATATATAAACTTATATATAAGCTATTCCACTAAGATGTCACTATATAAAATGTATTAATTACAACAAACTTCCGCGGAGAAAACCTAAAAACCTAACGGAGGGCCTGAGCGCAAGACTGACAGATGAAATCCATGCTATTGCTGCGGAGCAATGATTAAGTTACTTTCCTCCAGCTCGTATAGCAAAGTGGATGCATTCTTATATCTTTGATAATTAATGAATAGTTTTGCATTATTTTTCTTCTTCTTATTTACTTTCAATTTTTGCTTTAATTATCAATGTATCTGCGGTTAAAAAGTAATATTTAATAATGAAAGCAACAAAAAAGCAAAATTGTAACCGCATATAAAGAAAATTTACCGCCTCTAGTAGCGGATTTATATTCATTTTTTTACGCACACATAAGCACGTAACACCGTTATCGTAAATTCCTCTTTTGTAATCTGAGATTTGTGCCACACACACACACACACACACAATAATTAATTACGAGCAAACAAAAAGCCTTGAATATCTGTTAAATTGCACTTAAATGCTTGCACTTCTTCTGCAATATATGACTTTTTCTGAAGGCCTGCTTGCACGTATCTTGTATCAAAGAACGACTTCGTGGCATTTGTCCTAGTAAATGACTTTACAGCCGCATGGCTTTTGTAATGCTAATCGTACACACGTATGTGAACACTTGCATTTTCCAGTGAAAATTCTGAAAATATTCGCAAACGAAATTTCGCGAACGTTGGCAAAATTCGTATTGAAGCCGCGTAAGCTTATACTATCTCTTGGATGGAATTGAAAGCGATTCGCGGATCGTGATTTACGCAATTAATTCTGCATGCTATTGTTAACGAGTAAACATTGATCAATCTCTCAATAGACATTTCATAACTCCGCGAAAGTTCGAAAAATTTGGCTGAGAAATTCTGATATAAGGACCGCAAAGTCTGCAGCTTACACCGTCCGAATGATTTTTTTTTTTTTTTCGGTCTCTGCAGAACTGTGTTAATGGCATATAGCTGACTTCAAAAACAAGCCCCTGGAAATTTTCTTCCTTCAGTTTTTCGCGCCGTGATACGGAGAAATCTACATGACATAATGGTTTCAAGAATGATCTGCAAGCAGCTGTGATTCAACACCAGCTACTATTTATTCGTTAAAAAGTAATACCGAACGCCTTATTCTCAAAGTCAAGTTAAGTCAAACTTAGCGCACCAAGTGCTCGAAATTTTCAATTCGTATCGAATATACCTAAAAAAAAAAAAAAAATGGAGAAAATTTTTGGTGTTTTTGGCTCGCGTCACTTAAAAATGCTATGCAAACGCTATAAAATTTTCTCACTTATTTACTAATACATATGCATGTACTAGGAAGGAGGGCAACGCAAGCAAATTCAAGCAATTACCAAATGCAGCGGAACGGTAATTACAATACTTCTAAAAAGAGGGGGAAAACAAAACAGTGGAGGATGGCATAACTGGCGACTATCGAGTCAATAATGATGAAAATGATTTTATTAATTAAGTTGTTTTTGCTATAAAATTCAATGCTGTCACCTCTGAGATGAGCGACTTCTAATACATCTTCAACTATATGCTAATATGGCTGATTGTTTGCTTTAACCAGCAACGAATGTAATCTGTGAATGATTTCATCGTTGAATAATACACTCAAAAAAACTACTACTGTCTAAAAAAAAAAAAAAGAAGAAATATGTGAAAATCAAAATTCAAATCTTTTGTTCTCGTTTACCGTTATCGTTTAAAAAACTTTTGTTTATAAGTAAAAGGGGAAAAATATCAATTAAATGGACGAATAAAAAGGACAAACGTCACCCAATAAACGATAACACACATAATAAAGAAAATTTAAAATTCTTTACAAACAGTACGAAATTTATTGTTTCGTAAGGAGCTAAAGTGATGTTGTTATACGATGACCATAAAAGTAAAAAGATCGTTAAAATAAAAACAAAAACACAAAAACACAAAAAACGAAATCATGTTTACAGAAAACGACAACCGCAACCAAAATGGATGAACACAATATTTTTTCTTTCGCTTTTTTTTTTTTTCTTGTTTTTTTCTTTCTGTTATGGTTACCGTTTTCCTTTTTCCTTCTTTTTGGCTTTTGTTTGCAGACGCACAAGTGATTAAAGCTGAACAGCGGAGATATTACGGAATATTGAATAGTGGCTTAATGTGTTGAACCGGTAGGCAGAAGCAGCAGCAGACATTAAAGACATATTTGGAAGTTTATCATAATTTATGGCAATGAGGCAGAACAAACAGACGCTTGTAACTACTACTAGAGGGAAAAAGAATTCAATTTCACTGACTTATAAGTAAAGGAATGGATGGATGGATGGTTAACTGGATAAATGAGTCAAAGAGCGGCCAATACCAGAAAAAGAGGTTAAACGAACGGTAACGAGATGACAAACAAAGACATTAAACATATAAAAAAAAAATCAAAGTGCTTAGAAAATATATGTCTTCTTCTTTGCAGTCAACAGTCAGCAGACATAACAATAAACTTTTCAATTAAAGTACGTATTTTGTCTGTCTGTCTGCCTATCTATCTGCTTAGTTATTATGATAAAAGTATGCAACCTCTTAAGTCTTATATATGTATATAGGACGTCTCATATTGAACGGAAAAATCTGCTAAGTCCACTCCAATAAATCGACTACTGCTACATGTTGCCTGTTATATGTACCGTTGCTGGTACGCAATAAAAGTCATTTATACCTTACCCCATTTTTTTTTTTTTTTTTTTTTAATATTAAGTGTAAGGATCTAAAAATTAATTGCTACGATAATTTAATTTATGCGATGTAATGCTTGAGACGAAAGGATACGAATTGAGATTACTGATGCAAAAGTCTTACTGAACAAATGTAATGCGAGGGAATCCACTATCGTGATGAAATATCAATATGCGTCTGTCCATAATTTTTGGAAATAGTTTTAAACAAACGATGGGGAAAACGCCGAATAAGGCTCCTTGGTAGAAAGCTGATCTAGCAGAAAGAGTTCATAACTGGGGGGGGGGGGGGGGGGGGGGG